CACTGTCACAACTCTTTTTCAGATAGCGAACAGGTAGTATTATTCTATTGGTCCCGTGGAAAACCTTACGTGCAGTTTCATCCCAAATCCTGATTGTAAGTCTGAGTTTGCCTTCAGTATAAAGCTTATCTGTACTGTCCACAACTCCTGGGGTAGTATTCACGTCACCTTTTGCGGGCTGTGACTGAAAACGCGCTGTTTCATGTCATTGATTAAGCCTCCAGGAAGCAAGTAATGACACTCGGAAACGCTTGGACGGAACAATGATATTTAATCGGTTAGCCAACCCAAATGGGTCAGATACATACATGCTGATATGGCTATCAAGTGTGAGATCACAGCTGATATCAAGCAGGTTTCTAAATGAAACCTTATCCAAATGAAACCTTATCCTACGCATGGTGCCCCCAACGTGTCAGTTCCATGGGTCTTCTTGACATAGACAGGATCAACAGCAAGCCGCTTGCCTGGTTTGGAATCTCGGGTATTACGTTCCGCTTAGTATTTTCTGTGCTTAGGAGTTGGATCAAAGTTATGTATTATTCGAGGAATATAAATATATGCAAGCTAAAAGAAAATATAAGGAAAGGTGTAGAATGTTTCCGGCCTAGTTACCTCACCAATCCAAGCATCCCCAAAGTTGAAAAAAGAACGGTATACGGGGATACCATAAATTACAGATTTCCTCAGCCGGAACGCTAGGCAAGGGGACTCACGTTTCGGGTATCATCTGGCAGTAAGCAAAGGAAAGCCAGGATGGCTGAGATTAAATATCCGCCATCAACTAGAAGAGATCACTACCACCCAAAGATCTCTCCTACACTCAAGGTGCTCCACCGCACACCAGCCACGGAGAAAACGATGAGAACAATGTCCACGACTCCTAGCACGGCGGCTCCCATCATGAAACGAGGGCTGAAGATCCGATACAGCATGAGATGCCGGCGAAGATGGCCAGCCCACATGGTGGTGGCCAGGTTAATAGTCGCAAAGTAGAGAATGTAGGTGCATGCGGCTCGCACAACATCAGAGAGGAGCCTAATCGAAGGGTTGTTGGACTTCGGAGATGAAGAGGATTGGTCGCTGAGTTGGAGAGGGCGTTTCCAGAGAACGGTGAGAGGAACAGCGATTGCAGTAAGAATTTGTGCGCCGAAGGTATTGAGGATCACAACAATTGGGGACCATGGATATTGAACGGAGGAGAGAGGGATGAAGGCAGTCTCCCATTGGATGCTGCTCAGTGTAGCCTGGTGACCAGTCTTAAAGTAATAGAAAGAGCCGAGAAGAGCCAAAACGATCGGCCCAATAGCTGAATTGCCAAGGACGAGACCATTGGTATCCAAAATTTCTAGCAGTGAGAGAATTTGCCAAAGCAAAAGACCCATGGCACCCTGACCCATGGGTTTCTGCAGAAGGATGATCCCCAAACAGAAATTGACCACGAGGAGGAAGTAGCGAGTTCCATGCACGTTGCCAAATCCGAGGATCGTAACGGTGGTGCGTCCTGCTGGCTGGGGTGGCGCGAGGTTTTTGCCTTTGCTTTCCGGTTCCGCGTTCCCTTGACTGACATTAATGCTGATGCAAGGCTTGGAATAGATGAAGGCTGTTGTCCCAGCGGCAAATGCGAGAGCTAGCACGAGCTGGGCCAAGAACACCCTAACTGACTTCAATGTCTCCTTACTCAAGGGCAGCCACTCGCCATCATCAGCCCCCTCAAGCACCCAGAAGACGGAAGTTATGAAGAGTCCCAGTCGGAACCCTAAACCAATCCAGAGAGTAGCGGCGCCTTCGTAAGATTTGGATCCGGCATAAAATGACCGTACAACAGTGGGAAGGATAAGCGCCACAAGGAATGGTACAGCGAGCTGCCAGGGTGCAGAAGTCGAAGAAGTGGCAGATGCGTAATACGTCGAACGGCAAAAAGGCATCTGCTCCTCGCGGCACAAGCGAGAAAAAGATGCAATTCTTCCGAGGATGACGAAGAGGATGGAGTGATAGACGCCCAGAACCCTGTCGGCAGTTGATTTCTGTCGCATCGAGGATACGCCCGCAAGAACACCGAAGGTGGAGAGGAAAAACAGGAGAATCTCATCCTCCCAGATTGTGTAGGAGTTGGAGGCGAATCCGATGGACTGCGTGAGCGTGAAGGTAACAGCCAACCAGCCCCAGAGACTGCTTGGTAGAGGCAGGGACACACCAGCCGACCCGGCAAGAATGGTCCATGAAGCGCCAACTATGCTTCCCGCGGCGGCCAACAGAGCGGATGATTCGACTACTGGCATCTCCGCAAAGCCCGAGAACGACAAAAAGGCACCAACGACGACACCGACAGCAGAGCTTGTTCCAACAGAAGTAAGAAGAGACTTGGTAATGTCCGTCTGATCGGCTTTGAGGCTTCGTGCATAAAACACCAGCAAGACAATGCCGGCAGAAAGGACCGCAACACCTTGGAGCATGCTCGGTACATCGAATTTAGCCCACAACGAACGACAAAGCTGGAGAGTGTATCGTTGATAGTCCTTGTAAGACTCGGAAACGGAAAGCAAAGTTGCCTGACTGGGCCGGCCGATCCTAGGAAGCTTCTGCCAGCTGTTTTCAGCCGCCCTCCAAAGGTCCTCGGACTGGGATTGGTGGCTATCCTCGGCACCTCGCGAAGCTGTGTACTCCCGCTGATATCTCTTAATCTGAGCGGAAGTCAACCGGTTCACAGACATCACGTTCTTCCAATCGTTCCCCTTGGGCCCAATGAAAGCCTCCTCGATCGGCGAGCCGAGGTTGTTAAAGGGAATAGGCATTCCGAGAAGAAGGGACAGCGTGGGCACAAGGTCGATCTGAGGGACAAAGCGATCGCGAGCGAGCATGGGAGGTTTGGCTGTTTCTGCACTTGTGCGGCCGAAGATGCCCCTTTTAGAGTACATCCATAGAGCCGCATCGACCTCATCATTGGATTCACCGCCGTGGTCTCCCTTGGAGTCCATGCCGTGATCACCCATCACCACCAATAGCGTTTTGTCATCGAGTTTGGCGATGATTTCGCGAATGACCCGGTCCATTTCATCGAGCTTTGCGGCCATGGCTTGATGGTTCGGGCCATATCGGTGGCCAGCGTGATCGACACCGAGATAATGACCGAAGATGACATCCCATTTCGTAGAATTTTCAGGATGCAGAAGCGGGAGGAGGTTTGCAGTCACGCCGTTGTCAACGGTGTGCAAGTCCCAGACATTGAATGAATCAAATGCACGAGTTAGATTAGGATCGAAGTAGCCGGGGAAAAGTGCGTGCCAGGTGTCATCCCCAAGCTGAACCAAGTTCTTGCCTGCGGCGCGCAATTGCGCAACCAAATTGTCTTCATCGATTGCCGTACCGGCAAAGTTAGAACCAGCGTCAATGAACGTGGGAAGTGTTCCAGTCGTAAGTCCCTTCAATCTTTGCAGCGTCGTCGTGGGCGGATCCGCGATAAAAGGAAGCAGGAAGGCATTTTCGGGGGTATTGACAGCTGTCTCATATAAGACGGGAAGGTGGTCATGGAACAGTTGTGCCGTCTCAGCCTCTGCGCTCGGAGCAAAGGGTACCGTAAAGTCGTAGCGTAGGGCATCGATGATGATCACAACGGCTTTCTCGAACGACTTCTGGTGCCAACACCCATCGACTTTCTTGCTCACAGTCGCTGCCTCGTCGAAGGGGAGTACGTCGCAGGATGACTTGTTCTCCAAAACCATGCGAGTTAGCAGGAATCCTTTAGTAAAGAAGAATATCCCGACAACATGCAAAAACCTAGGGAACCACAGATAGGTTAGAAAACTCGGGTCCCCAAAGAAGAAGCGGCTTGGACGCAGAGACAAAAGCATACAATATCCACCCTAGAACACCAAGCACACCTAGATGCTTTAATTTGAATTCAGTTTCCAAGCCTTGTATATAATTGTCTTGCGCACTGCCCCCAGCCAATGCCTTTGGTACCTGAGGTTTCCGATGTTCATTGCGTTCCGGAGATCGTGACGACAAGGCCGGACCGGCGTTTCGCGAGTCGGACAGGGTCGGGCTTTCAAGCCCTGGGCCCCCACTAGTGACGGATACCATGAGGAGGGTGTTGCAATTGAATATAATAAGTCGTAGCTGGTCGAAGACAAGCTAAGAGGGAGGTATTTCGCCGAGCGCAAGTGCCGGGTCTCTCACTGCAATTGGGCAGGGCTTCGGCCGCTCTAGCTGTCGAGCTGGCGTTTCAAGGAGAAGATAGACGATGTGAGGATCGAACGGTTGAGGATTCAGCGGCCTGAAGGCGAGCTCATTGAATTGAAAAGGAGGCGAGCCTGGATCGTGGCTTTTCCTTTTCCCTGAATTTTTCTTTTTCGCCCACCGTGGAGCTGTCGTGCGGGTTGTCCGGGAACTGTATTCAACAGAGCACAGACATAGTTACAGTAACAGCTCCATTAGACGTGGGGAAGCATCAAATCCAAGATAAGATATAGGCCATCCAAGGACAGCCACGACGAGAAGCACCAAAGAGGGGTGAGAGGAAGACTTGGGGAAGTGGAAGCCGTAGGTCTCCTGGCACCGCGCCGGAAGATGCGCTCCGCTCAGAGGGAGTCGGCGTTTTCGGCATCCCAACCCAGGAATTCGGACATCGTCATTGGCCGAAGCGGCTCGGAACATTTTGAACCCTGAGGCAGTGGGACCTTACCGCTTCGGGACAGCCCATGCTATTAGGTAAATCCACAGGAGACTAAACTAGTAGCTAGCAGAGTTAACTAATAATAACTAGGGAGTTGGAAATGATTTCCACGAGGATTAGGGGATGATCGTATTCCGTCGTGATGCGTGAAATGTATCTAGATACAGGGCATTGCAGGGAATGAGGTAATATGTAATATATACAGCCACTAAGTCATAGAATGAAATGAGACAACAACATCGCGCTAAACACAAATCATCGCCCGCTTTCTTCATTACCACATGGGGAAAAAAAATAATCAAACAGTTGCTCCGGATTGCGTTGGTTACAGGAACTTGGCTACCGCACCACCGATGTTCTTCAAATCCAGAAGGAACGTGTCATGCCCAAAGAGCGAAACGTCCTCTCCAAGTTCAATGTGCTCGACGTTCTTGTTTCCGGTAGCCCGAAGGGTCTGGGCGATTTCTCGCTGTTGCCAAGCCGGAAAGAGGATATCACTGGCGACGCCCATGACCAAAACCGGGTGGTTCTTGAGCGGCGCAAGGCCGGCGACAAGATCCTGCGGGGGAGCATCTGCACCAATATCACCACCACCCACAGCCTGGTCCATAGCAGGAGCGGAGGCGTTTACAGAGGGTTGCTCCTCGTAAGGTTTCTCTGGGAGAGTCAGACTACATGAGATATTGCTTTCGAGCAGGGCCTTTCCGCCGTCAGCAATTTCAGCCTCAAACTCGGCTCTTCGAGCTCTGGTCTCGGTCTGGTGAGCATGGCCGAGATCAAACAGATCCATGGCCTTGGAGATGTATAACAGACTGTTAGGATCGTATTCCAGGCAGAACTTCTCTCCCGCGTGATCCAGGTATGTCTCAATCAGGAAATCCGGGCACAGAGCAGGTTGCTTGTTAGGGTCTGCGCGTTTGCGCCCAAACCGCTTCTCCCACTCCGGACCGCTTCTGTATGTCACGGTTGCGATCTCTCTCGCCAGCTTCATTCCAGAATGCGGAGGAATCGAGTCATAGTAGAAACCACGGGCCCATTTCGGGTCCATCATCAGTACTTGTCGCTGGGTGTGTCGCATGGCAATGCTGTAGGGGTGGCTTCGCGCACAACCACTGATACTGATAATCTTGCCAATCCTTTCAGGGAAAAGAACACCGGCAGCAAGACTCTGCATACCGCCCATGCTGGATCCGACAGAGGCGTAGAGTTTGTTAATGCCAAGTGAGTCCAGGAGACGAAACTGTGCCCGAACCATGTCGTCAATCGTGAGGATAGGGAACCGAGTAGCGTATCGCTTTCCGTCAGAGGGGTCCACTGACGAAGGCCCTGTGCTACCATAGCATCCTCCAACGACGTTGGTGCAGATGACAAAGTACTTGTTTGTGTCCAAAGGTTTGCCAGGCCCGATAAATCTCTCCCACCAGCCGGGCTTGGGGTTGGCCTCCGTGCTATGGGCGTGACTGGATGCGGACAGACCGGTGTGCAGTAAGATAGCATTCGACTTGTCAGAGTTCAAGTGGCCCCATGTTTCGTAGGCGATGTCAAACTCTGGAAGTATACCCCCCCAATCAAGTAGTAAGGGTTGTTCGCAGTGAAACTTTCGGTGATGGCCAGTGGTATATGAAGGTTCGGGGCCCGACTGGAGGGATCGTGCGGAGAGCTGGGCAGACTTTGCATCCTGCGCATCGAGACACGGAAAAGACATGGCGGGATTGGACGAGTCCCTCGCAGCAGCATTGGTCGACTTTTGCGATCGGGTAGTATGCAGGGCCCTGTATGTTGCCGGACACGATGCCGATAAAGAGGCTTGGGTTCGCTGACTTCCGGTAATTGTAGACAAGCTCGTATGCTGATTGAGAAGCCGAGAAGCTCTTAGAGCTCTCGGAAGTGTGCGGCCTGCAGCCATTGGATTCATCATAAGCCAACAGCAACTCTATGACCGACAGAGAAGAGATGACACGGATAATGTCAGTAGAGGCAGTACTTGGGTTAATAATTTATCTTCGGCATTATTGCGGAGGCGGCGCACGTGGCAGCCTGAGGCACAGAGTCCAGCAGCTCTCATGGCGTCATCTTCATAGCCTCTGATTGGTTGGTTATGGCCAGTGGCATATTAGTAATACAGTCTATCCCAGTCTAGAATTACTCATGCCTACCAAGTAGTAGTTAGTAGTACTACTACGTGACAGCACACCTCAATGTTACAGAGGACATCATGAAAACTGTTCCAGGACCTTATCTGTCCTCCTTGTCAAAATTCAATGTGAATTGACACAAAGTATTACAGAATTAGATTCCTATGGTGGAACTTGCGCAGGAAAAGACGCGGAAGACTAGTATCAAGGAGCTTGAATGATGAATTCGGAGAGACGCTTGATTCTGACTCTTACGGTCGTTTTCTCTCTTTTTTTAAGGGAGAGAATCCGCCGAAGCCACCAAAGCCACGAGGCGGCCCACTTTGGGCAGTTTGTAAGCTGCTGGTGTGACCTGTACTCAGACCGATTTTCCTTCCCGGTTTGCGAATATTCTCAGGCTCTAGCTCTTCTTCCTCATCCAATATAGTCTTGCTCTGCGCCCCTAACTTGCGGCGTTTCGTCCGGATCTGCGGCTGACCCGCAACAAGAGCGCTAATGGATCCGATATCACTGTCATCATCAATATCATCTAGCCTCAAACCGCTTCCTTGTCTAGAATTCATTGCCGGCTTAGATTTATCCAAGCGCTGCTTGGCCTGTATAGGGCGGCGTTCTCGTGGCTGGGTTTCAGATTCCTTGACATGTAATTTGTCCTCGAGGTATGAAGTCTCCAGCGCAGATTCATCATCGCTGCCGAGACGATCAGCGCCCGCTCTATTGTCTGGAGTATCGCCAGAGGTTTCCTGGTTTCCATTGGTGCGATTGAGAAATGGCGTGATAGAGAAGGCAGATTTCTGGCCAGGAACTGCAGTAGGTTGCCGTTTCCCTTCCTTGACACGGACTGCTCCCGGCGTCGCGATATCCAAACCAGGGTCAAATCTGGATGAGAAGTCTTTGAGGGGGACTTTTCTCGTTTGCTCTAACGGACCATTGCTGTTACTGGTCTCAAATCGGCTGGTTTGGTTGCTGGTTTGAGCTTGACGCAGCTCATCCTTTAGGGTCCGTAGTTTCCTGTTCAGTGATTCGACTTTGTCTTCCAGGGCAGCTTTCTCCGACTGCCACATGTTATTCGGTTGCTGAGTAGCAGGTACTTTTCGAGCCTCTGCTGCAATTTGCTTGCGTTGCTCCTCAAGCTTTGCAGTCAAGACAGATATTTCATCCGCTTGCTGTGCTCCCTGCGCCATAGTGGATCTGTGTGCGCGCTTTTCATTCTCAAATTCCACCTTAAGTGTATTCAAATGACGGGTAAGCTCTTGTTTCTCAGTAACCAGTGCTTGGAAGGAATTTGTCTGCAGCTGTAGTCTGTGGACCTCTGACTGCATGTTAGCCAGCTCCTTGGTCAGGCGCAGCTTTTCGGTAACAAGGTTTCTAGATTCGGCCGTTGTGCTGTTCATCGATGCCAATTCGCGCTGTGAAACCCCTGGTCAATATAGGCTATTTCCAAAGACGGAGGGTGCTGTCATACTCGAAGACCCTCAATTTCGTGAGTTGCAATGTGAGCTGAGCTCTGCAACTGATCGCGTTCCCGGATGGTATCCTGCAGCCGATTACGAATATCCGACTCGGCATTCCTAGCTCGTGATAGATCTTGTTTGAATTGATTAAGTTGCAGTTGGAGGTTTTCGTTATCAAATCGCAGAAGAAGCTGGTCGACGTGAAGGATGCGGCGCCTTTCCTCATCTAGGAGTTGTGCTGTTTTCCCGAGTGTTCTGTCATATTCGCGCTCAAAGAACGCTGTTTTGAGAGCCATTTGGCACTGCGCGTGTTAGCTCACACAGTTGGATTGGACATTGTAGGATAGGGGTAATGTCCACACATCTTCTATGGTGTAGTCTGTCCCATTATTGATAAGCTCCATGGCGATGATCGAGCCAGGAGAGATAGTGAGGGGGCGGAGGCCGGACTAGCAATGTGGTATAGACGGAGGATCTCGTGATAGTAGTAGTTAAAGCGGTCGCGGCAAGTCAACAAGCAAGATAAACAAACAGGAACAAACAGAGCCTCCTCCCCGCTTTCAGCCGCAGGGCGCGGAACAATGCACGGCCCGGATGACAGGCAAACAGGGTGAACCATGATGTCACGTGCCTGGATAAGCGTCATCAGTGCACCTGCCGAGTAAGAACGCAAGCGACAATTTAAAGCCAGTACAGTAGAATGCTTGAGGCATATGCTGATATCTAGTCTTGTTACCTTGCGTCTGACCCTCTATGATGGCCAGTCGTGGGCCCACTACCCGCTCCAGAAGAGCCGGAGCTGCTTCGAACCATTCTCGGCGGCAGCGAGAAGACCAAGATCATGAGATTCCAGAGATCTACCAGGAGATGTTGGCGGAGGCTGAAGCTAGAGAGTCCTCCAGGCCAGATGATACCCGACTACCCAAAAGAAGGAGGCTTACCCGCCCCAATCCCGTATCCGCACCATGGCCTTTATATCAAAATGGTGCTAGTACTCCAGATGCCAGCTATTCTACAGAACAACCTGTCCAAACGGTGTATGATTCGCCATCATCATCCGAAGAATCAGGTATGGAATGGGAAGAAGTTGATATTCAGCAAGCTCCACATACAATTCATGCGGACGATACCTCGATTCAGGTCACCCTGGGTCTGCCCGAGGATCAGAAGCGCAAGGTAGTTACCAAGCGAAGGGGGATCACCGCTGCCGAAAAGCAGTTGCGATTAAGCATCCATAAAGTTCATCTACTTTGCCTCCTACGCCATGTGCAGATACGCAATCTCTGGTGCAACGATGAGGAATTACAGGTACGTCCGATTCCGATTTAGCAACCTTTATCTGGTAAATAGGCATACATGCTTGAGTCTAAAAAAAAAGAACACGTGGGAAAACGGCCAAGGGAAAGGAGACCGAATGAAAATGATAGATAGGGAACTAATCTTTACCTGACTTTGTTTCCGTTATATAGGGCTTCCTCAAACGGACATTGCCGAAAAATATCATCTCACTATTGCATCCGTCCGAGAACAGGCCACAACAATTCAGGTCAACAACTTTCGTTGATGGGTTGAACCGTGCCAGTGATATTTTCAATAGAAGGTTTAAGATAACCAAACCAGGACTGAGACGACCTTCGTGGATAGATGATCTTAATGGTATCAAACAACGAGTGGTATTGTAACTGACTTCGGTGTTGTATATGTCACAAATGTGTCTGACCTCTCGTTAGGAATCCATAATAAGTGATGCCGAGGTCTTCCTCTCGAGGAAGGATTTTGTGAAACAAGCACGAACAATGCAAGGTTCTCGTGATTTTGGCGCCCAGTTATTCTGTGCTTTGTTACGGTCCGTGGGCGTCGAAGCAAGACTCGTCTGCTCATTGCAGCCATTACCATTTCGAGATAAAACCAAGGATGCGGCACCACCTGCTCCGGTGTCTGAATCTTCAGAAAGGTTTACCCAACCAACTGCTGAGGAATCGGAAACGTCACAACGGTCCACTGTGAAAAGATTAGCCCGGCCACGCTTCACACCAGCCAGACGCCCCGGAACTCCTTCTCAAAGTAAGTTCGGCATCTATCGTTCAAGCTAGCATGAAGCTGAGCATACCGAAGGTTCCCCCCGGCCCATCCGTGAATCATCACACCCGGTATTCTGGATTGAAGCGTTTAACGAAGCAGTAAATAAATGGATACCTGTCGATGCCTTGGTTACCAAGTCTATGGCAAAGCCTTCTAAATTCGAGCCTCCAGCAAACGATCCTTACAATCTTCTGAGCTATGTGGTGGCATTTGAGGATGATGCCTCTGTTAGAGATGTCACCAGGCGCTATGCGAAAGCCTTTAACGCCAAAACTCACAAACTTCGAATTGAATGCGTGGGGAACCATGTTAACTGGTGGAACAGAGTGTTGCGGTTCTATGAAAAGCCATTTTTGGAAGACCGGGACCAATTGGAAATTAGTGAGCTTACTTCCAAGACAGCGGCTGAACCAATGCCCCGGAATATCCAAGACTTCAAGGACCACCCGGTCTATGCTCTTGAAAGGCACCTTCGGCGACATGAGGTTGTCTTTCCTAAACGGATCATCGGGCAGGTTAGCCTGGGTAAATCAGCGTCGAAGAATCAGGTCTTGGAGCCCGTATATCGCCGATCCGATGTACACGCTCTACGTAGTGCAGATCGCTGGTATCGCCTAGGTCGCGACATTAAGACAGGCGAGCAACCGTTGAAGCGCGTCACCTCAAGGAAGCCACAGATGGGGAGGCTCAGTAACGAGGACGATAACTCCGTCTCCGACACACCTCTGTACGCTTATTATCAGACACAATTGTATCAGCCCCCGCCAGTAGTTGGAGGGAGAATACCCAAGAATATCTATGGGAACCTGGATGTCTATGTACCCAGCATGGTGCCTCCAGGCGGTGTGCATATCGCTCATCCCGATGCCCGTCAAGCTGCTAAGATCCTTGCAATTGACTATGCAGATGCTGTCACCGGTTTCAGCTTCAAGGGGCGCCATGGGACCGCGATCATGCAGGGGATTGTCGTTGCCACTGAGTATCGAGAAGCACTTGAAGAAGTGCTAAACTGTCTGGAGGGAGAAAAGTTGCAGGCTGAATTAGATAGGACGTCTGCTGAAACACTGCAGGCTTGGAAGCATCTGCTGCTGAAACTGCGCATTGCGGAGAGAGTCAAAGGCTATGCAGTAGAAGGTGAACGTGAGGCAGATGAGCTGGGAAGGATCGGAAACGTGAAGGAATCCGAGGACCCGGAAGAGTCAGGCGGCGGCTTCATTCCGGAGTCGGAGCAAGAGATGAACAGTCCGGCTTCTGTAATGGACTGGATTGGCCCCTCTCGAGATGAAACGTCAGGACCTACAGGCACTACAGGCAGAGACATGTCTCTTTCGGCTACAGAGACGGATATGCTTGGTGGAGGCTTCATTCCTGAAGCAAGCGTGGACCAAGTGTCTTCACCTCAGCCAAATAGTAACGTCACAGAATTGCAAAGGAATCGCTCTGTCCTCCCTCAATATGACCTGGTTGTCACTCCAAAGCTTGAATCTGCAGGCCAGACAGCCCCGATCCAAGACTTCATGAGTAAGGAATCGGGACTGTTGTCTGACAGGACGAAAGAGGACTTGGGGCATATCACACCGCATATTGCTCCTCAGAACTCCGAGGCCGCCATCATCAGATCCACTACAGCAATTTCGGGCACCACGCATCCTCAGATCGCTGTACAAGCAGATGATTCCCGCTCTCCGACCCCGAGCATCACCAGCCAAGAAACGCACAGCGACGAAGAGACCTCTTTACTATCGCAAGACCCAGAAGATGATGACGCCATCCCGGAGTGGTTGATGTCCGATTAACTGTATCATAGCTAGACTTTGTGGGTTAATCATAGGCGCTACGACAACGCGATTCGTATTACTACCAAATAGCACGTCATGTCCTTATGCATGTAGTACTAGATCATCATCATCATCATCATCATCATCATCATCATCATCATCATGGTTCTACAGTCTCTTGGATTTTATATGTTGCTTTCTTGTTCATCGTAAGAATAGCCATTGCCGAGTATCTCAGGCCAATGAATAAGGGTAGAGAGAGAGTTACTATATGCTAGCTTACAGAAATCCGTGAAACTGTAATAGCAGGTTCCTTTTTCTTTTCTGATCTATCACTAAACCATCTACGGAGACTTGCGTGCTATAGAAGCATACCGGCGTCTATACTTTCCTCTGAAGTTCACCAAGCTAGTATATTAAAACCATAAAGCACAGAGATGTCAGTATGTCCAAACAAATCGGACTCAAGGATTCAAAAAGGTGTATTTGTTGCAATTTCGATAACAGAGCACGCCATTGGAAAGGCGACCGTGTAACTAAGAATGACGAGGCAATCAAGCGAAATTTCACTTGAGGGTTCAGGCATGCTCTGGGTACTAGTGTGCCTTGAGAGATATGATGATGCCAATGAAACAAAGGGTTGTATCTCAATTAGATGGATTTTAACTAAGAAGGTACTAGGCCCAAGTTCCCACCAGAAGGCGAGGAAGGGCAAATAATCAGGTGATCGGTGCATCGTCAGATTGAAATATTGTATGTGGCCGTACGACGGGTTGATTGTTAATAAGGCTTACTTCCTCAATCATTTGCATCCTTTAAGGATAGTTTGCTAACTCGGGTGGGTTTAGCCTCCCCGTGCTTTTGAGTCAATCACCATCGGAGCTCCGGTTGTTATCAAAGTAGTACTCTTGAAAGAGGGGTTTCCCCCTCAATTGCTTATTGCAGTTGTCACCATTTCACTCTTGTCCATCTCGTGCGGCCTGACTTGTTCATCAGCACTATTACTCTACTATCATCGCCTTTCACAATGTCGAAACATTCAAAGTTCACTCCTGAGTACGCATCCCCAGCTGTTAGTCTAAAAAAAGCTTGGAAGTACCAAGCTCTAACCACTGGCTCGCTAGGTTATTGATCGCCGCCCCAAGGCCATCATCAGCAGTACCGAACGATGAGGGAAAAGTGGCGATCTATACTGTCTCAACATACGATCTTGACACCCACGCAGATTTCTCTGAGGTCAAGCTGCTCAACTTAGAAACCGGCGAGTCCACTCGGTACACCAATGATCCCAAGGAGTCTTCGTTTCGCTGGCTGTCCGGTTCGTCACTTCTTTGGCAAAGAGAGGGCAAGAACAACACCGAATTATGGATTGGCGATGCCTACCACAACACCCGGTAAGACTGTCTTCTCCATGACGAATTGATATTTCTGACAACGTTTATCAGACCATATTTGGCTGGTACTATTGACGCTAAACCAGGGAACTTGAAGACCAAATCATTGGACAACGGTGACATAGCACTGGTCTTCACAGCACCCGCAGATGCCGAACAGAATCTGTACAACATCCTCAAAGCAGACAAGACTCATACGACCGCCCGGGAATGGACTCATAGTCGTCCCAAAAGATGGGACTCGTATGTTGACCAATATAGATCGGTTATTTGGTATACAGTCCTGAAGCTTGACTTGGATTCCGGACAGTGGCAGCTTTCTACTAAAGGCCCCGTCAATGCTCTACGAGGAACAGGCCTAGTGGTACCCCTTTACTCCAACTCACAAAGCTCCCCGGATCTCGACATCTCATCTTATGGGATTGTCTTTGCAACAGCAGATCCAGTGGATATGGAATGGAGACGGTCGCAAAGCTGCTTATATTTTCTTCCATTGTCAACATTCGAGGAGACCGACTTACCTGCGCTGAAGAAAATAAAGGTTCCCGATCATGCAGATATCGTAGCAGCCCCGAGGTTTGCGCCTCGGGACCCAGTGATCGCTTTTCTAGTTGACCAGGACAGCGAGGAGTGGTCGCAAAAGAGCATTGTCTTGCTAAACACAGAGACGTTGAGTATAGTATCAATCCTTCGGACGGTAAGTTCATTCGGTCAGAGTCAGAACTGGGATGTCTTCCCAGATGACATTCTGTGGGCAAATGACGGCGCGTCTTTGTATCTGACTGCGAACCATCAAGCAAAAACTCGTGTGTTCCTAGTGGTTCTCCCGACCACTACTGTTCAAGACAGATCACAGAGTGTGGAACCAGTTGCTTTAGAGATCCCTGGCTCCGTCTCATCACTGTATCAGCTGGGTCGGAGTTCCTCGGAGAACCGGTTACTGGCCACCTCTTCATCATTCATAGATCAGGGATTGTTCACAATTGTCACTCCTCCTGTAGACTATGAACCTGCATCTCAGAGCAGCCGAGTCATCCACTCGTCCTCCTCTCACGGAGCCTATTTCGGAATTTCGGACAAACAAGTTGAATCGATAACATTTCCTGGCGGCCCAGATGGCAAGACCCCAGTGCAGTGCTGGATCGTAAAGCCATCTTGGTACGAGGCCACGTCGGTTGAAAAGCATCCTCTATTCATATTTATGCACGGCGGGCCCCATTCCGCTAATAAGGATGCCTGGACCTGGCGCTGGAATGCAGTCCTCCTAGCGGAACAAGGGTACATCGTTGCGATCCCCAACTTCACTGGATCCGACTCGTTCGGGGGCGAATTTGCACGAGCAGTCGCACTGCAGTGGGGAGGACACCCTTACCACGATGTCGAGCGCTGTTTCAACTGGATCGAACAAAACCTGTCGACCAAGTGCGATGTTGATAGAGCCGTAGCCGCGGGCGGAAGCTATGGGGGATATCTGGCACTATTCTTGGCAGGACAGCCTCTCGCCAAGCGGCTCAGAGCTCTGGTCAGCCACGACGGCATCTTCGACGTTGTTTCCGAGCTTCTGAGTGATGATCTGGGTCAGGTGCAAGAGCTGACGCGCTCATTCGGTTCGCCATACTTCTCCAATGCCTCGAATGCTGGCCGTGACGAACCCAGCGTAAAGGAGATCTGGCGACGGTATAACCCAGCCGAGTATCTCAGTAATTGGTCAACACCATTGCTTCTGATCCATTCGGATCGAGATTTCCGGTGCCCTATTACGGCTGCATCGGCCGCTTATACCGTTTGTCGAATGAAAGGGATAGATACACGGTATTTAAATTTTCCGGATGAGAACCATTTTGTCCTGGGGAGGGAGAACAGTTTGGTCTGGTATCAGAATGTGATTGGATGGTGCAATAAATATGTGGGAATGGAGGATGGGTTGGCGTTGCAGCCAGCTCGCAATGAGCCACAGTGGCTGGGGAGAAGGGAAGAGGGGAGAGTACTGGATGTTGATGCCTAGAGGCATGATTCATGTATTTTGTTTTCCCTTCTTGGTTGCAATCTTCTACTACTGTGGTAGTACCGAGTAAGTACCGAGTACAGGTATGTGTTCAGTTGGCCTGAGGCATCAATAAGACCGATTGACCGACTGACCGACTGACCGCTTACCCGCGGAAGCAACAAAGCAAAGTTGAACGCGGGTTATGACGCCATGGCCCAGCAGGGCGTAGTGCGATCGCTCCATGTGATCACCGGCGAGACTTAGCTGCATGTCCGACACCACTGGCTATACTCCTTCTGGCTTGGAGCGCGTGATGGCCTGTTCGAGGAAAAGAGCGGAACAAATTAATCTTAATTTTTTTTTTCCCTTTCTTTTCCATCAGGCTGCTCCATGCCACACACACACACTAAGGAGGAGGGGACGAGCTGAGGACAGTTCCTTCTGAATCTCTACTTCCTCCTTCGTTATCACAGTGTGGATGTCCCCTACCCATCTATCAAGCTCGTACAACGGATCCGATCAGCGTAACTCCACCGCTCAGAAGCTGGGGACATCCGCTAGTTATCTATCCACCTGATCCATTTGAGGAAAAGATCCAGACTCCCGCCCTAGCATCTATCTAGTCTAATAAACCCTGCGATCCCGCGAGCACGCCATCATGGAATCCTCTGATCTGACCGCGCCTTACGCCAGGCAGGCCAACGCTTTATCTCCCACGCAACGATCTTCATCCCATTCGTCTCATCGTGAGCCACACCGCATGGCTGCCTTCGAAACGGTCACCGTGCCTGACCAGGGCCAATCGCAACCTGTCAACGAGGTCACTCCGATCGTGAGCAACTCTGACACATCTCGGCGCAACTATCATTCTACCGACGGTCTACGGAACAGGGACTCGGGATCAACAAACAATAACACGGTCTCACGGGATCCCGGTCAGCAGAACTCCCAGTGTGACTCGGAAGAACCGCACGGCTCGTGGTATAGCCGGCTGGCAGATAGATATGGAAGCTTGGAGTTAGAAAATAAAGGCAGTGTGGCCCGAGATCATCTCGCTTTGGGTATGCTTAGTCCGTTGTTGCTTTTTTTTTTCCTTTCTTTTCTTTTCTTCTCACCCCGTCCGTGTACGACCTCGTTAACCGGATTCCCTTTCTTTTCCCTAGAACGAACCTTTCTGGCATGGCTGCGGACATCGTTAGCCTTTGCATCGATTGGCATCGCAGTAACCCAGTTATTCCGTCTTAATAGTGCCGGGACGAACGCGAATGCCAATCTTTCCGCTCAAAATTATCTTTTGCCATCTGCCGCTTATGATTCCACGCCAATAGGGGTGACATCTGCCTCTGCACGCCTTCGGAACATCGGTAAGCCGTTAGGGACTACTTTCATTGGAGTTGCAATTTTGATTTTATTGGTTGGATTCCACCGCTATTTTGAGAGCCAGTATTGGATTATTAGGGGCAAATTCCCGGCCAGCCGTGGCAGTGTTGCATTGACAGCCTTTGTAGCTGCTGCTCTGATTGTTACCGCTTTTGTTGTGATCCTTGCCATCTCTCCCGGCGCGGTTGAAGCGTAGGGGCTTAATTTCGGGATAAGCAAGGGGTTGCACGTTTTCTATACCGTTTTGCATTCTGATTTTGTTTGTATTAAAGCGAGCGAAATGATGGATTTGGCGGTGTTGTGCTATTCATAGGTACATAGCAGTATTTAAGTAATAACCATGGCTGAATCGACCGAACAAAAGAGCTACTCAACTATAGTCATCCAGATATCATACAACGAACTATCATTAGTCCACGCACTCACACCCCTACGGAGGCAATAAATGACCTGTTACTGCTTAAGCTGTGGTATCTCGTAAGCAGAAAAATCACCTGACACTACACGGCCCTTCCTATAGTACTACCTCAACCCTACACATACCAATAGCCTACAATCTATAATCTACAATCTACAACTACATAAAAGAAACCAAACTGCGAGTGAGATTATTTTTGATTATCTCTTAACTCAAGAGTAGAACTAAAGGCTAAGGCAACCCCCCCATTCGGGCAAACCTGATAGGCGGAATCCAGGGAAAACACCTACCACCGTCTTTAGTCTTCAGTGATATAGGATGAAAACCTGGACCGGGGTGCACGGTGCCATACATGACAATATACAATAAGGAAATGAGAACATGCTTCGCTGAATCGTCCCCACAAAGATAAGATAAAAGAAGTAAAAAGGAAAATACAGGAAGAAGATTGATCCCCAAAGTTTCATAGATATTCCTCCGCTTGGGCCTTGAGTTCGCCCCCTTCTTTGTGACATGCTGGTGCTTGTACGTCCCCACAAATAATATAATCAAAACAAATTCATGTTATACATGAAGTTCCCAGATTTTCTTGAATTCCTCCGCTGGGTGTCCTTTAGACTTGGTTGGTGTGTTGGGATGCCTAGGATATATTAGTATGTGTGTATGCAGGTTGATGAAGGTGGAGGTGGGTACTTACTGCCTTAGAAGGCTTTGAGCATCATGGAGTCGCCGTCGAAGTCGACGGGAAGGTTGGTTATTGGGTAGCATGGTAGCTGTATCGGTTGGAGGACAGGTAGATTGACTGGGGTGGGGACCATGTCGAGGATGTCGAACATGGGTGTGTCCCCATCGAAGTCCTTAGAGAATGGTCTCTTAGGGGCGGGCTTAGTGGGTGTGCCGCGTCGGTATTGGTGAGGTGTGTTGGTGTTGTTGGTATTGTTGAGATGTCTCTTGAGATTCTGAGACATGGGGCATGCGTCGAGCATGATGGTATCCCCGTCGGTTGATTTGCGGTTGTTGATGTTGTTGTTGTAGTTGGCTTTACGGCCAGTGTTTGGTTGGGTCTTGGTTGGAGGAGGCTGCCTCTTTTGAGGTTGAGGCTTGACGAAGACGTCGGTCATGGAGATGTCTCCATCGACCTCGCGATGAGGCTTTCGAGGTGCTGGCTTGGAGATGCCAGAATATGACTTGTAGTGAGGGTTCGGCTGCCTCTGATGTTGAGGAGCGTTGGAGGGGGTATTGTTGGTACGGATGGATGGAGAAGATTGTTTTGGTCCGTTAGGTCTGAATCGACGAGGAGGAGATCGGCTGTTTTGTTTGCCGGGACGGGTGTGGTAGAAGAAGTTTGAGGCGGGAGGAGCAGCCATGTTGACTGGTTCAAGGAGGAGAATAGAGGGCGATAGGTGATGAGGAATAGTAGAGATAGTTAAGGTGGGTAGAGATATATGGAGAGACGTTTTCGGATCTCTCGAGGAGTGTGAGGTGGATGGTGATGTAAGAAGTATAGGTTATAGGAGAGACTTGTACGGATCTCTCGAGAAGTAGGAGGTGGGTTTCGGTTGTTTTAGTATAGGAGAACAATAAAAGCAGATTTGTAGAGATGTTTTTCGTATCTCTAGAGAAGGGGGGTGATTTCGGAGTTTGTAGTATTAGGGATTTGTTAAAAGCAACGCAGAACAGTTAAAGCAGATTGAACAGTTAAAAGCAGATTTGGTTTGAACGGTCCGGTTTTTTTTTGGGACGTTGGAGAGAGGAAAGATTTCAGAATGGCCCTGGGAAATCGGGGGGCCTACTTATACCCCCAGAGTCTCCTGGAAACTTTGTATACCTGAGTTCAGCATTACAACGGAGCGAAGTATAAGGACTATTGTAGAGAATATCTAGGTAGTTGACCATGGGTCCGATAGGGCTGGCCTCCAGGAACGGGCTATTAATATCTCTTCCGCTAACAATAAGGTTTCTGGATATAGTACATAGGGCTAGCCAATAGTATGACCCAATGGCTAGGCCCCTGCTTGCCGAACACAGTCTGTCTGGCCCTTGCCTAAGAATAGTGGTGAGAAAAGTGTAGTGGTAAGTCTGGGGTAAGTCCGGAGTAATCTGGGGTCACAAATCCGGACTTATCATCGGCTAACGATTCCACTTCGTCCCAATCCTCGCCTTCTTTCTAGTGTGTTTCGTCCCGGTTCTGGCCGAAGATGTGCTTCCGTTAGATGTCAAACTGTCCCTCTTACGTTTGTCCACTTTCGAGGTCTCCCGCCTTTTGCGTTGTTCCTCCTTGATCTTCAGTCTTCGCTGTACCTCCTCTGAGATATCCTCGGTCTCCACTGATACAGGTGAGAAACGCCTTATGTCTTCATCGGCTCCTGGAATAAATTCGTCGATACGTTTTCGTTTGCTAGAGTGCACAGCTAGAGACCTTGCAGTCAGGGGGTCTTGGTTTTCCGCTGCTGCTGCCCCTCCGTCTTCTTCCGGGTCATACATGTGGTCGGCATGACGTTTGAGTTGCTCTTTTTTGAGCTCCTTTCGACTGCTTGACGTCGACATGGATTCTGACGAACGAGTGTCCGATTCCGGTGTTGCTGTGTTGAGCTCTATAAGAATGGTTACTTTTCTCTGTACTAAGGCTGTTATATTGTATTATACCCGTCAGAGGAAGCGGGTAAGCTTAGAAAAACTCACTTGGCACCTGCCAGATTGGTTAACCACAGCACTAACAGAAGTAGGAAAGAAGGAAGTAGCTACGACCTACCACACGTTTTTTAAGTATATCAAACTGAGCAATCAGTCTCTTAGTCTTATCAACCATGTTGGACACCAGTTGGGATTCCTCTCCGTAGGAGTGGACTTGACTCTTCAACTGGTGCAACATCTCTAGATGCGACGACAGCATAATATCATGTTGTTTAGAAATCTGATAGTAATGATAGACAGTGTAAGCCATCTACAGTGTTCATATATATAGAAAGCATAGCATCGCCGTTCAGGACAAGGCAACTGGTGAGCATGATACATGCAGAATGTCTATAGTAGGTACGCCATGCACAGGAATGGTTCACCCACCTCAGGCCACGAATGCTGGAATAGCTTGGCTTCTGGGGTCTTTCCACTACCCCCGTTAGATGATCGCTCATCTTCATGCTCCATTTTGGTAAATTGAGTGGATTTATGGCCAGCTAATGGCATTGCTGCAGAATTTGTCCCAAGAGGTGAGGTTGAAATAGAGCCGGAGTGTTACTGGTTTGAGGCGGTGGTGCCAAAGGGGAAAATTCCCCGCCCGCGTTGTGGTGGCTGGCTTTTCCTTTCCTATTCTCTATCTCCCTTGCATACTTTGACAGTGAAGACACAGGTAAAACCTTACGAGGGGTTATTGAACTGAGTTCTAGCTGATGCTTCAATGAAGGCTTTCGGAATTTCGCAATGTTGCTGCGACCGGACGCTGGAATGGGAGTTGGCGTCAGATCACGTGATGACAAGATATCTAGCGACGAGAAGGGACAGTGCAACCATCTTGTCTCTAAATTGCAAGGTCACTTCTGTTCTGGTATCTAAAGAGATAATATGATGCTCTTGAGACTAGTACTCAGATCTCCTATCCATCACTGATATCTACATTCTATGATCTTACGGCAAAAAGGTGAGCTTCGGAGAGGAGTCCGGGGGAACTCCGATGGTTCGGCTCGGACCCCCGCATTCCCCCCCTCCTCATTCTCACTTTCTGTTTCCAGTTCCCCTGTTTCATTCCTGCCTCTTTTGATTTTCCCCCCCGGAAACTTCTCTCCCCGCCGATGCTTGCTGCACGTCTCTCCACCCTTGAAATCTGGGGTCGGCTTGTCTCGCCCAGTCCCTCCGTTTCCCCGTTCCTCCTCCCGCGGAAAAAGATCCAGCCTTATCTACCGTTCATGTCTCAACAGCAGAGTCCACCAGAAATACCTGAGTCATTGGATCCATGGCCACAGGCCTGGCAGCAAGAGGGGACAGTGCACTGTCCCCAGACGCCCTGATAAATTCTGGGCGTCGCCTCTCTGATACCGATGATTCGATCCCCGCAAAACGCCCAAGAAGGGCGTCGGACTCCCCTATCAAGTCCTCCAATGGACCGCGCCAGAAGATCACGCGCGCCTGTGATCACTGCAAAGAGAAGAAGACGCGCTGTACGGGAACACTCCCATGTGTCAGGTGCATGCGACTGGATTTGTCCTGCGAGTACAATGCCGCTTACTCCCGGGGTTTGCCTCCAGACCCTCTCCCCGCACCGCCGTCAATAACGGACGGTCACACATATAGTCCCGGTGCCAAGAGAAAACCCCAAACAGACGGGGCTCTGGGACGTCTACGCTCGTCATCTGCGCGACAGTCTCCTAGAGCATCTGCCGGTTCGCCTCAACAGCCTCTATGTCGAAACGAGGTCTCTCAGCGCAACTCCCCTGATCCAGCGGTGACCGACTTCGAAGGCAATTATCTAGGGCCTGCCTCGGGAGTCTCCTTTCTCAATCGAGTTTGGCGTCGTCTACATCAGGATGAAGGGCATGCATTCCCAGATAGCCTAGAGAACGAGTCCTCTCCCAGGAACACCTCGGTGTTCATGTTTGGTGATAAGCCATACTCCGACTACCGCCAGGTGACTTTTTCACTTCCCCCGTTTGATAAAGCACAAGAGCTGGTCAACATCTACTTCGACTTCTCGATGGTGACATATCGATTTCTTCATCGGGGAATCGTAGAGGAGTGGCTCTGCCAGGTGTACCTGAACAATGTCTCCTCTGCAAACCCTCCCACGGGTCCCATGGTAGTGCGGACAGCCATCATCCTTATGATATTTGCTGTTGGCACGCTCTACGAGGAGCAGAAACCGGAACGTCCGGTTGATGGGTGGTGTGGAAGGTAAGCTAGTCAGTTGTATTCCTCTCGGGTCTATTGTACTGAGCCATCTCAGCGAGCAGTGGTATGCAGCGTCCAAATACATGACCTCCCTGGAGTCGGGCCCCCCTCGACTAGAGACCGTTCAGGCTAGGCTAGGTCAGTGCCTTTACTTGCTGTCTACCTCTAGAGCGAATGAGTGCTGGTATTCATTCGGTACTGCCCTCCAGCTCGTAACCGCGCTGGGCCTGCATCGAAAATTCCCAGGCAGGCTACCTAAGGGCGGGAACACCTACATGGAGCGAGAGCTCCGCAAGCGCATCCTCTGGAGCGCATATATGTTGGACAGATATCTCAGCGTGATGTTTGGTAGACCACGGTTATTACACGATGAAGACATCGACCAAGACCTTCCGGATGAGATCAATGACGAAGACATGCTCCAAGAGGACCCGGAAAGACGCACAGGGTCCGCCGATTGCATGATGATCGCATCCATCCTACATTTCAAGTTCGCCCCCTCTATATACATGGGTACATGCCGATACTGACAACACAGGCTTGGTCGCATCCTGGGCGACATCTCTCGTCAGCTCTACACAGTGAATCCATCGTCTCGTAATCCACCACTCGAGACGGCTGCCCGGCTCACGTCTAGATTGGAGGAATGGAAAGCGACAGCCCCGCCGATCTTCAACGGAGTGCGCGCAACCAGCCTCATTCCTCCTCTTTGTAGGCAAAGCCAGGTATTACAACTGGCGTACTCGCATGCGGTCATCCATGCGACCAGATCGTTCCTGCTCAACGACATTTCGGATCTGAGACGTAAGCCACCAGCTCCTCACCCCGTAGCGTCCAACCTAGTACGCAAATGTGTGGAAGCCGCTCAAGAGGTCATGGAACTGGTAGAGGGCCTGGCCAAGCAGAACATTCTGATCCATTCGTTCTGGTTCACACACTACGTATGCTTCTGTGCGATCACAGTGGTGTATATCTATATTATCCAGCAACACCGCGACACATACCCAAAAACCTTATCCCCGGGCACCGGAGACGTCACTCTGAGCTCTCTCTTCAGATTAGCCGAGACCTGCCAACAACACTTGGCAGAGGCTACACGTAAGAACTGTCCCAGTCGTCGCTACAGCATTATCCTAGAAGAGCTACGAAAGGAGGTTCACCAACAGGTTGGGCCGGACGCCGACTGCTTGGTCAATTTATCTGAACAACAACGGCCTAAAACCACCACGCGTCGGGATGAACTGCCAATGGAAGCGCAGCAGATTGGCCTCAACAACCTCTACTCCCCTATTTCACTGGACAACTCGATGGCGTATTCCAGTAGCTTACAACCGGCGGCAGATTTGGCCGCACAATCATTCGGACCCGATAGTGATGTTGGCTTCATTGAGAATTTGGAAGGATCAGTGTGGTGGACAGAGTTAGACTCCTGGGTGAGTGTCCTTTCATGTACTTTGTTGTCAATATTTGCGCCTCGTAACTTATTTCCTTTGCTTCAGGCATTTACCAATCTTCCTGGTGACCCTTTGACACTCGGGTTGTAATATATGATTAGAATGTTAGCGTTAGATCTAACAGTCATTCTATGCTATACTACTATTTGAAATGATCTTCCGTTTTTCAGCTCTTAGATAATGATGTAGAAAAATAGGGTTTTGATTCAAGATGAAAGATTAGATAATTGTTTTCAATATTATCTGATAACTTTAACTTGTCTGACAGCAACCGAGATTCGGGTTTCCCCCCGCATCGGACCTGGCCGAAAGTAAATTTCAGCGCCAACCGTGGGCAGTAAGTGACATTCAACTCACCATGTCGATTATTTCGAAGTTTTGCTGTCCAATATCGATCCTACAATCATGCTAATATGCAAAGTCATTGACGACAAAATGACTAACTCGTCATGCTCCATTGCTAGGGCTTCTCTCATTGGCGAAGGAGACTAAGCTCCGATCTCGCCATCGCCTGTGCCGCTTGCGACAGCCATCTTCAGCGGCCCTGGCCGCCCGGTTATTCCTTCTTTTCGAATGTACTCATGCATCACGACATTTCCATGACCTAATATAGCGCAACATAGAACAGACTATCATCGCTTCGCTTGCGAAAAATCCTGGCACAACAAAATGGCGTGTTCTTGCGGATCATACATAACCTCGGCGAGCTGCCGTCCCTTTCTTTAACTCTCGCCCTGAAGTTTAACTCCGAACAATCCCACGAATAATTCCAGTCTTGATCTCAGTTCACTATGGCTGACGCTGAGAATGGAAGTGGCGGCAAAGTGCCACTCAAACGAGTGTGGTACCGCACCTCCCTTTTCAATGCCTGCGTGATTGGTGCTGTTGGCTTTCTCGCCCCCGGGCTATGGAACGCCATGAACTCCCTGGGAGCCGGAGGCGAAGAGAAACCTTTTCTGGTGAATGCCGCCAACGCACTGGTTTTCGGGCTCATGGGCATTTTCTGCATCTTCGGCGCGCCCATCGCCAACCGGATTGGACTGAAATGGGCCCTTCTCCTCGGCGCCGCCGGCTACCCCGTCTACGCAGCCGGTCTCTACACCAACAACCGGTTCGGCAACGTCTGGCTAGTTCTGGTCGGTGCCGTCGCATGTGGCATTTCAGCCGGTCTCTTCTGGGCCAGTGAAGGCGCCATCGCAATCGGATACCCTGAACCATCGAAACGAGCCCGATACCTCAACATCTGGGTCTGGTGGCGCACCCTCGGACCCATCATCGGGAACTCGATTGTCCTGGCCCTCAACATTAAAAACAAAGACAAAGGAAGCGTGGGATACTCCACCTACATTGTCTTCATCGTGCTACAATGTCTCGCCGTCCCCGTCGCTTTACTCCTCACCCCGCCCAACAAAGTCCAACGCGCCGATGGCTCCCCGGTCATCCTTCGGGTCGAGGACTCGTGGAAAGCGGAATTCCAAGCCCTCTGGAAAACATGCAAAAACCGCACCGTCATCCTTCTTCTCCCTGTTTTCTGGGCCGTCTACTTCAATGAGTACTCGAGTAACTTCGAAACGTACTATTTTGGGGTCCGAGCTCGTGCGCTCATCGCTTTCCTCTCCGACTGGGTCACCATCCTTGCTTCGCAAATCATTTCTCACTGGCTGGATTGGAAGCGTATCGACGCTAAGAAACGTCTCACGTACGGCTGGTATTGGGTCATCATTGTGCATGTGACGGCGTGGATTCTTGGCTGGGTTGTGCAGGAGCAATATACATCAGCCCATAAAAAGAACCCTGATCTGGGGACGATGGATTACACTAGTCCGGGGTTCACTAAGGGCGCGTTTGTCCTCTTCATGTGGACTTTTGCGCAGCAGACGGGCCAGAATTGGTTGTATTATTTGGTCGGAAGCATGACTGATAATATCGCCGAGTTGACCAGGTTGACGGGTGTGTTGCGCGGTCAGGAGAGTTTTGGTGAGGCGATTTCTTACGGATTAAATACGAGGGATTGGTATGGTGGACGGGTGCCGATGGCTGTGAATACTATTTTGCTGGGTAAGTGGGATTGATATCTGAAGAAGAGGCTGAATACTGACTGGCTTTGTCTAGGCTTGTGTGTTATTCCGACATGGATAGTTGTGAAGAATCACGACATGGAATCCACAGGCGAAAGCGAGTTGGAGGTGGATCGACGCCCAGTTGTGGATGAGAAGGGGGTGGTTGATTTGGAGGTGAAGGAAACGGGAGTTCATTGATCTATTAATAGCAGATCAGATTAGATGAGCAGAATGTACTTGATTATACTATACACTAATATAATATTTTCCTGACAGTGTACTTTAGTCCACTAAGGATAGTAGATCGGAGGAAAGGTCGGCCAACGGCCGGGCCAAGTAACGGACCCTACTCCGCGTTGGTGGTTCAAATCCAAACCTTCAGGGGCCGAAGCCGATCCTTCCTCCGCTGGCTTACGTCCTGTTCCCCACAGTGACTGTCACACATAGATGATGGATGGACCCTGAACCTCCTATTCGGTAGTACCGCCATGCTTTGCAATTCGTGCCGGTCCATCTACCGGCCTGTTTTACCTACCAAACGGCAAACCCGCAGGGTCGATCCCAATTTCCCTAAATCGACGAACAATGAGAAAGGTCGGCTAATCGACCGGCCAATGGACCGAACATGCATAATATACTTAAAGCAATCCTGATCAGGGACCCCTACAGGAAAATGCCACAGAAGCAGAGCGAAGCATTGCGTCCCAACCGAGATTCCAAGGATGAAATTGACACTACCGGTAGTATTCTGCTCGCTGGCGGCAGCATTCGATGTTTCCAGTCATGGACCATCTCAAGTCTCCCACCGTGACACATCCTCATTCATTCATCCAGGCCTCCTCCAAACAGCCTCTGATTTCTCACGCATCACCTCCAAAGTATCCAGCAACACCGAACCCTGGATAACAGGCTGGTACAAATTGACCAACAGCTCCAACATCAACCTAGACTACACGCCCTCCCCAAAGACAATCGTCTATCGCGGCGCAGATGGCACCCACACCGAGAATTATCCCTCTCTGTACAGAGACATAGCAGCCGCCTATGCAATGGCCATCTACTGGAAAGTGACCGGCAACACGAGCTACGCCGACGTCGTCGTGAACATCCTCGACGAATGGAGCTCCACCCTGACCGAGATCTCCGGCACGACCGACATGTACCTCGCCGCAGGCATATACGGGTACGAATTCGCCAACGTCGCCGAGATCATGCGCACGTATTCCGCATGGCCGAGTGCTAATTTGACCCGCTTTGCGAACATGATGGTCGACGTCTTCTATTCCCTTAATCATGATTTCCTGCAGAATCACCACGGCGCCGCTGTTGATCATTACTGGGCAAATTGGGATTTGTGCAATATTGCCTCCGTCTTGTCTATTGGCGTCTTGACTGATAATCAAACTATGTTCGATGAGGGATTGACTTATTTCAAGTCTGGTGAGGGAAATGGCCAGATTGAAAAGGCCATCTGGAAGCTGTATGAGGTGGATGGGGAATCCCTGGGTCAGGGTCAAGAGGCAGGGCGTGATCAGGGCCACTCGATGTTGGATTTTGCTCTCCTGGGACCTATTGCCCTGACAGCGTATAATCAGGGGACTGATCTGTTTGAGTATTTGGATAACCGCATTCTGGCTGGGTGAGTTACCCTCCCCTCCCCCACCCCCCTCTCTCTCCTATACTTGGTTTATCTTCTTCTTCCCCTATCCTTCCTCTCAGTATGGAATACATCAAACTTACAATGAAATTAATTAGTGCGGAATACGTCGCCAAATACAACCTTGGCAACGACGTTCCCTACACGACCTACAACAACAGCGACGACGTAAACCAGACGGTTATTAGCAATTCCAGTCGCGGAGATATCAGACCCATCTGGGAGCTGCTGTATAACCATTATGGTGTACTTAAGGGACTGGATGTTACTTACACGAGGGAATATCGCGATTTGGTCGTTGAGGATGGCGATGGAGCAGAGGGCGGTGGTGGCGATTATGGAACTACGAGTGGTGGGTATGATCAGTTGGGATGGGGGACACTGTTGTATACGCTTGAGTGAGATGGAGATCTACTGCTGCTAGAATTTCTTCACCACTTAATCCCCAGAAATGCTTTATGTGTTGTTTTTTCGAGCTCAGCACAATGTAACATTTTAGAGGCAGTGGTTTGACATGTGAAAGTCGAGATTATCGTCAATCGGCAGTACTGATGGTTTGTAATGGTTGAGGTTGGAATAGCTGGGAGAGAGACTTGCGACCGAGATGCGATGTAAGCAAAAGCGCTAGCTACATTACTGTATGGACGCATGGTTTTAAGCATCTAAACCCCAAGGGGTCGCCACGAGGATGCAGTAATCACAAGCCCTGGCACCAGTTTCACCATCGCAGTTAAGATACTTACTAGAAAAGATGCAGAGGAAATGTATATGCTCACTAGTAAGCTGCCCACACTAATGGTATCTATTACTTTTCAATTGTATTGAAGCTATACGACCTCCCAGAAGACGCTGGGAAGCTATATATACGTATGTGTATATGCAAAATGACCAACCAGGGTCTTGGCTCTGCCACCCTCCAGGCTAGCTGCTCCTCACCCCCGTTTCATATCCTTCATTGCCTCCTCTACCAACCAGCAACTCACGTCCTGTGCATCTTGGCCCACGCGCCAACTGCCCAGCACCACGCCTTGCTTTTCCAGAAGTTCTTGGGCGCGTTCCCAGCGACGTCGCCATAGTTCCTCTCGTTTGTTGGGCAAAGGAGCTGCTGGGACGGCCGTTGAGTTCGGAGTGCTACTATCAACGCTAGTGCTGGACCTGCTTGCTGAGGAGTTTGGCTGGGCCGGTCGGAGAATGTTCGATGGGGTTGGAGACCAGTTCAAACGGTCGGAGGCGTATTGTAGCGCTGCTGTGGCTGCTGTGGCTGCAGATGCGGGGTATGATTGTTTAGGGGGAAGGGGTGGGGGTGTTGGGCGGTTTGTAGTTTGCTGTGATGAGATAGAACCCGGGGTTGAAGTTCCTGTGTTGGTTCTGCGTGGTGGAGGAGGTGGCGGTGCTTGCTTTGAGCGTGTCGACCTCGTGCCAGTCCCGTTGTCGTTGGAGATATCTTGTAAGCTAGGCTTAGGACGTACAGGCATTGGTCTCGCTATATTATTCACAGGCGTATTATTTTCGGTATCAACTATGTTGTCGGATGAAAAATCGGGCTTAGTGGAAGAGCGGCGTGGGGGTAGTGGTGGCACAGGTTTTCGTTTGGCTGTTTCTTGAAGTGAAGGCTGATCGTCTTTGCTCATGTCTGGATTAGTCGAAACTGAGCGCAACGCGGAGGGCTTGGAAGGTTTCGCGGGTGGTCCGCGCCCGGTGGAGGGCTTCTTCACATCAGCCAAAGACATCTTCTGTTCCACCTCGTCGCTAAGATCAATCAAATCAGCGTTGTCTAGGCTTATGGCATCCGCGGACGGATCGGCCGTTTCCACGGGCCGCCGAGGTGGTAATGCCGGACGTTTAGACACGGCATCAGAAGTTTCCACAAGTTGCGGACTGCTGCGGCTCCGGTTCAAATCATGTTCCAAGTGGTCCACTGATTTCTCGAAGAACTTCTGTCGATCGGTGGTGGTAACGTCGCGAATGAAGATTCCAAGAATCCGTCCCGGGTTTGCTAGAACGATGTCGGTATATACCTCCAAATCCGCTTCACCGCTGTCTCCAACGAGAATGAACTTGCGGGTAGGAAAGTCTCTCAAAATCTGCTCCAAAGAGCCCCTCTTCCTTTCCGCCGTAGGCTCGAATATCCCCTGAAGCATACCACTGTATTGTTTTAAGTGGAATGAACCCGGGGGCAGGCCGGCGAGCTTGAAGTAGCGTTCCAGAAGAGGATACAGTTGCCAAGGGGCATTAGAGACATAGTGCAGGTCGACTCCCATTTTCGCCAGCTTGCCATACCAGTCAGTAACACCGTCAACCGTCAACTCGTTCAGTTCACGGACGAAGGTGTTGCGAAACATCTCTTTGGCCCCGCTAGCAATAGCAGAATGTTTTACCGTGTCGTCGATATCGCTGATCAAGCTAACGCCCGTGGGCTCGATGACCTTGACTTCCTTCACAGCCGAGAGATCCTCGGAGGCTAGCACACGGGCGTGAGTCGGGATAAAAGGTAGCGACGCTCGTAGGCGAAAGTGACCGGACTCATCGGTCATCACGCTCCTCGACTGGCTTTTGTCGTTGTTGAAGAAGAAGACAGTGACGGGAATTCCTGTTACCGGGTTCGTCAAGAAAGGGCGTAATCGCTCCAGAAGGTGCGCATTGGCGACGGAGAGTTCATCCTTGCTCAGCGGTGCTGTTGCTGCCCTCTGGAGAGGGCGTCCGGGAGTATTTTGGGCATCACGGTTTTCTGCGCTGTCTTTCCATACGGGATCAGCCTCCTTTTCAGCCTGCTTAATGATCGATTGTGCCTGCGTATTGACCAGCTCTTCGTCCCCCTTCTCAGTCCTAGAGTCATTTGCGTTATGTTCATCACCATCATTCGTACTGTTCATAGGAGCTGGTACTCCGCTGAGCTTTCTGGCGAGAGCGACCATCAGACGATGTTTTCGAGTCATCGGCCCGCGATGAGGTGCGTATACCCAGCCACGCACGTCGACTGCGACGATCGCATTCTGGTCTTCCAGCTCATCCCATATCGGCATGCCTGTGCCAAAGCCATCGGACTCGCCCCGATACTCCTCAATGGTGGCATTTGATCCTCGACGGCGGCTATAGTATGAATCCACATGCTCATGTTTCACCAATCGCCTCGCATAGCTCGGGAAAATCACCATCTCTTCAAATTCGGATCGCGCAATCTCAACGTCCGGGAATGCGCCCGGGGTATCACGATAGTCGTCATAGTCGCTCTGGCCACCGATCTGCGCCGACCATTGCGCAGCATAGGTTTGGCGCAGCTCATTGGCAGCCTTCAAATAGTCAAAGACCTTCTTGCGGCGCGCTCCCCTCTCCCGCCCAGTACTAGAGCCCCATGCCGATGAGGATGAAGGCTCGTACTGTGACATTGGCGTGAGGCCTGAGCTCTTGGTTCTTCCAGCTCGCAAAGCCCCGGTGCTTTGCGCCAGCCTTCTATGTACAAGAACACCCGTCGCAGGAGCTGTCCGACCAGCCAAGCGGTTCCCCTTTTTGTTCAGGTAACCAAGGATACCCTTCCGACCAGATTCCCGATTGCGTGCGAGTCTCGCCTGCCGCTTCACCAAGGCCCGGTATAGCCCCGCCTGTGCTCGATGTCGAAGAGCGGGGAGTGTTTCGTGACGCAGACTCCAGAGACGAGATTGTGCACGGGTAGGGGCGTGCGGACCGAACAGGAAGCGAAGGAAATGGCGAAAGAGTTTGCCTGTTCGCGAATGGCGAGCTGCAGGAAAGCGGAGGGGCGGAGGAGGAAGGGGTGGCCTGATGGGGGCCCGGGGGGAGCGCCAGCGAAAGCGAGGGAGTTGTTGAGGCGCCACGGTAATTAAATATATTCAGGGAGATATCTAGAAGATGATGGTGGTATATGAGTGAAAAAGAGAATGGACGATGGGAGGGGGGGGGAGTGAGACGATGTGGGCTGTTCCTGAATGACTTCATTTCGTGGGAATCCTCCACTCCTGGCAAGGCTAGTGCACGTGATCGGGTGCAGCTATACCTAAGACATGTTATTATTCTAGGTATGCCATATTAACTTTCTCAGTACTAGCGAAAAGTAGAACTCGTACTTACGAAGTTACCAAATTTGTAATATCTCCTCTATTTCATTGGGGTGTCTCTGCCACTCCCCTATACATTAGCATCTGCAGGTCACAGCTAGCTAAAACTTCCGAATGTGATGATATCTGCAGAGGGACAATGCGGCCAGTCTGAGCTCGGCCCGATCTCTAACAGCTAACAGTACAGAGTAGCTTAGTGAGGAAACTAGCAGCTAGCTAGCCTGCTACTTTAATAGCATTACCTTGTCCACCTAGATAGACTAGACCCTGACATCTCCCCGCATTCTGAACTCAACTAAACACCCACTACTGCAATTGACTACAACATACAGTATGTCAACAACATCATCATTGTACCAGGTCGTAGCAGACCTCGACAAGCAAGTTCATCCACCCTTCTAATTCCATTCCATTCAATTCAATTCAATTTAATCCCATCTAACCTCCCCAACAGCTTCCCCTACCCCACCACCAACGATGCCGACAACCCCATCCTGCAAAACTACCACGCCTTCAGGATCACCGGCATCCCCCAAACCCTAGGCTACATCCCCAACGAGCTAATAACCACCTTCCCCTGGCCATCAGACACCTGGGCCATTAATACCACTCCCTCCAGCAAAACAATCACCCTCCTCACGCCTCCCACCGCAACCGCCTCCACCCGCACCGCCATCCTCCTCCCCACCCTCCAGCAACTCGCCTCCCACGGCATCCTCCGCGGCTGGCGCAACGAGACCTTCCCCCTCTACAGCCCAGACGGGACTATCATCCTGGAAATAGAACGCGCCGCAAGCGCCCTCTTCGGCATAGTAACCTACGGCGTGCAAATGCTCTGCTACACCGATGACAAACTCTCCAACACACCGCACCTCTGGATCGCCAAACGCTCCTCCCTTAAGCAGACCTACCCCGGCATGTTAGACACAACTGCCGCGGGGGGACTAAGTACAGGGTTACCGCCGAGGGAGGCCATCATGCGGGAGGCGAGCGAGGAGGCGGAGATCCCAGAAGAGTTGATGCGGAAGGAGATGAGGTTTGTGGATCGGATTTCGTATTTCCATGTTAAGAAGGAGAGCGTTGGGGGGATAGGCATGGTGGAGCTGTTGCAGCCCGAGGTGGAGTATTTGTATGAGTTGAGGTTGGGGAAGGGGGTGGTTCCAAGTCCGGCAGATAGTGAAGTGGAGGATTTTAGGCTGTGGGGGGTAAAGGAGGTGAAGAAGGCGCTAGGGGAGGGGAGGTTTAAGCCGAATAGTGCGGTGGTAGTGGTAGATTTCTTGTTGAGGAGGGGGTTGTTGGATGGTAATGATGAGGATGAGAGAATTCGGGTGA